ACTAAGAAAACTAAGGTCTGAAAACAAATATTACAATAATAAATCTCTGTATTACTTCTGACGATGTTTCAATCTTCTTTCTGAACAGCGACCGATGAGACGATGACTGTCGTATTGATGCCTCCGCGAAAATCGAGGAAGTTGATTTTGAGCAAACAACCAACCCGAGTGCAGCGAGAGCTGGGCATTAACGGTTTATGAGACGTGATTGACAGAGGTATTGCACTGGAGTTGCTGCAAGAGCTATACAGTGCTGTATGTTTATGAAGCCAAAAGAGGGCTACTACGAGGCTATGAGCATACTACGTCAAAGGTTTGGAAGACCTTCGATGATTGTAGGGAAATTATTCGAGGCTGTTAAGGGTAATGGTGGTCAATTACAGGATGACTCCCAGGCACTCACTGAGTTTTTGGATAATTTGCTGATTCACAATAATGCATTGATTTCGATGAATTGCATGAGTGACCTCAACTCGAGTTTTATACTAGAAGTAATAGCAAGACGTCTACCTACTCGACTGCAAAGGAAGTGGGTGAAGATAAGCTCCCGTATGGAGGATGAGGGTATCGAGCCAAAGTTCGATGATATTCTGAGACTGGTGAAGGACAGTGCCAACCAGACGATGGGCAAATTCGCCAGGATTTTGCATTCTGAGGTAGAACCTCAGGAACCAAAATTGTCTGCTTCTATTATTAAAGAGTTTGAAAATGATGAATTTGACGGTAAAGTGAATATTCGTGATAATGTTCATGATAGTGCATATTTGTCTTTGGTTGATCATGGTGAGATGAGAGATATGCCTACTACTGCTATGTTGAACAAAGGTTCTGTACAACTTGAACGTGATGTAGAAATAAATGCAGATGCAGTTGCAAAAGGCATGCATACTTGTGAGACCGTCAGTGTGATTGATCAGCATTTAGCCCACCTATCATCAGATGCTAGTGCTAAACCTGAGCTGATAGTAAAAGACAGCAGTGGTGGTGGTCTTGCAGGTAGACGAATTTCTGAAAGTCGAGCAACAACAGCTTTTGATCCACCGCTAACTTCATCAACTGGTATCAAGCAGTCGTCGTTGGTGTTGTCATCCACAACGAAACAGTCGCCCATCAACTCAAGTATCTTGTCCAATGACTATGCTAGTACCAGTTCGTTTGAAAGGACGAATATCAATGGTCAGTTTAGTGAGGATAAGCCAAGTGTAAACGAGAGAGTAATTGTTAAATTGACTTGCACGAATAAAGGCATTTCTAGTTTCAAGTTACTATTTGAATGTTATTATCTTTGGTGTAAATTACTCTGTGCCTACACTTGGTTGACCAGATACGTCGTGTGTTTGTTCGTCATCTATATTCTACGATACAATGACATGAGTGTGTTGTCGTTCAGATTTGAGGATATAGCTGATAGAAGGAAGTTAGCAAATGAACTCTGCGACGATTTTCCAACCTAGGGCGTCAACCTGAGAAGGGTTGTAGGCGTACTGGTGTAAGTCCTACAGTTCTTCAAAGGGTAGCGCATCAATGAGCAGTCCAATGTGCTTGGTGTTTGATTTTGTGCACATGTTCATATTGTATATAATGAATCGATATCATCTATCATCTAGCTGTTGGTAATTCTGTTTGTGTCGGGACGACTTCCACTTGGATCATCAACCTGAGAAGGAATGTAGGCGTACTGCTGTAAGTCCTACAGTTCTTCAAGGGTAGTTTGTCGTGTCGGAATCCACAACATTTGATGTGTTGATTGTACATATGTTTGTGTTAAATAGTTGTGTGATTTCCAATTGATGTAATTGTTGGTTAATCTTGTTTGTGTCTGGACATTCCACAACTTACAATCGTCAACCTGTGAAGGGTTGTAGGCGTACTGGTGTAAGTCCTGCAATTCTTCAAAGGAATTCCATCAAGATGTGATCCGCGAGTTTGTGTGTACTGTTTGTATATATGTGCGGTGTGTCATATCAACTGGTGGTGTTTTGGACTCATTGTGTTTACTTGTTGTTTTCGTACCTTGTTTTTATTGCGTAATTTTGTTAAAATTTTCGTCGAGCTTACTTCTGAAGTTGTTTCTTGTCTTCTACATCCGTGAATGAATTGATTGATGGGTCGTATACGCCGGGGAGGCTATTGCTGAGAATGAAATGCACACGGAGATAATTGTTAGCTGCGGTCCGACACGCCGGGGAGAAAGAGTGTAAACGACTGAGGCTCGCATGCGTCACCGCTATTAGAACTGAGGCAGAATGAGTGACCAGCGATTTCAGTGGTAATTGGTAGTGAGTAGATAATAGGATGTGCGTAGAGTATCGTGCGGTGGTGCTATGGTCACGTTGCATTCTGCACGAGTCACTCTAGCAAGTGGCAATTGTGTTGCAAGAGGATGCCTTTAACTGGAAGGCGTAGGTCGTCATTGATGTGTGAGATTGGGCTGTGAGTATGCTTGTGATGTGTTGGCTTTTCTGTTTGTTTTCCATTTCAGCTCTGTCCGTATGACCCAGGTTCTCGCAATGGCATCCAAGTCAACACGTATTGGTCGTGATGGAAAAAAAGGGATGGATCCCTTTTTTGGCTGGGAGTGTCAATGTAGTTGAAGTTTGAACGATCAATTCATGGTTGTTTGCTCAAACCCAACTTCCCCAATTATCGCGGAGGCATCAATACACCAGTCATCGTCTCATCGGTCGCTGTTCAGAAAGAAGTCAGACCAAAACCGTCAGAAATAATATTGTGATTTATTATTGTAATATTTGTTCACAGACCTTAGTTGTAACAGTGTTTATATGTTGGTGTTACAATAAAGAATCCTCGAGTCGCCAATCGGTGTTTTGGTTTTTGCGTCCGTTATTACTAAGCGTTTCTGAGAAACTTCAAGGAACAGCGTGAGCCCGAGTGCAGCAAGAGCTGGGCATTAACGGTTTACGAGACGTGGTTGACACCGGTAACCCTATTTTCAGTGGTATCGAAGATGAGCGTATCAGGCTACACCTCGGCAGGACCACAGTGTTCCATGAAACACAATACGGATTTAGAGGAAGTAGATAATATGCGATGGATACATGGTCAGCTCGGAATGATGGTACATCAAGCTGGTGTAGTTTGAATCGTCAAACAATGAACTGAAGTGGAGATTAAGCGCACGTTAGCACGGAAGTCACGCAAGTGCAGCGTGCTAGTAAGAAAGAGGTCTTAAGGGAATTACATTTGCAGCCAAGTCAAATAAACAGATTGGTAAGACGTGAAGAATCTTCCAATTGGTCGCCTATCGTGTCGTCTTGTGAAACTAATTCATACGAGCGTCTACCTGAAATCTGAAAAATCATGTTATCTATACATAAGAAAACCGCCTGACCTATCTTTCCTTAAACTGGGACGCGGACTTCCCAATTCATTAGGTTCTCCCTGTCCTTGCGGAGGCATCTGACACAATTCGGGGTGACTTCCCAGGCGAGCATTGGTGGCCTGCATAGCTCCTATTCGGAGGACCGCCTGGACGGAAGAGGACTCCGTACCAAATTCATCGGTGCTAGATCATCCAAGCACAGTTCACTATTGTGGAGTTGTCAGCGCTCCATCCTAGGTCCCGTAATGTTTTCCATTCTTATTGATGACCGGATATGATATCTCCAAGATGACGACGTAAAGACTTAGAGAGCGACAAAGTGCCTGGATGGCCCAGATATGCCGCAGGTGGACCTAAAGACTCTGGGATACTGGGCAGTACTCAATGGTATGACTTTCAACCTCGAAAAGGTTAGATAGTACGACAACGCACCAGTTGACCACAGAGTGTACTTTGCTCCCTGTGTGAGTGAGAGTTACTTCCGGATATAGCGCAAAAGGTAATACGAGAGTGAATTATACCGGCGCGACTGTGTACTTCATGCACAGACGATTGAGTCTCCCCACTCTTGATCTCTACCCAAGGGTCCCGCGGAAAGGTTTGATCGGAAGATAGATAATCAGTCAGTTATACAAAGACTGCATACAAATGATGTATCCCGTTAAAGCTCACTGTGAGGAGTATACATCTGATTTCGCCTCCTACAACTGCGTGGTTTCCCTCGCCTCGTTCATCTGATTAATCTACACATTCAGCCCCTTATTCCATTATTATTTCAGTTTACTCACACATTTATTTTAGTTATCAGTTTTCACGATCTGTTTGTGCGTTTTTATTTTGAAGTTAACATGGTCTTCACTAGTTATATCCGTTATTAATAATAGCTGTCATTAATTCCATTTTCCACCGCATCGGGCGACCAGTGGACAAACGAGTCAATGCCATTCGCACCGGTGACAAGGTCTTAACATGCCACAAAAATCAAACTGCATATAGGCAATCCTCCAGCCACTCCTCTTGAAGTCAGTCGAAGATAAAACATCAAGTGGTAGAACACACTGCTCATAAATTTGCCGGAGATGAGGAATATTTATCCTACAGCGATGAAGTGAGTACAAGGAAATACATTTTGCTTACACTAGCTCGGAAAAACTACATTGGATAAGTTGTATCGACTCCATTCCCGTGAATGGCTCCAGAAAGAAGCTAGATTCTCACATATATTCTTGTCTTAAGAATTAATGCAGAATCAAAACTTTTCAGATAGAAAACAACATAGAGAATAACAATGAGAGTAGGCCACAGACCGCTATTGAACCTTCCGATCTGCAAATGGAGGTCAAATCTTGCATTCAGCAAATCAACAGTAGTTTAAGGGAGGTATTCCAAAAAATTTCATCGTTTTAAACTTCTGTGATAGAGACAAAAGTTCAGAATTAGGTGAGTAAAGAATGGGTTGTGAACTTTAGGAAGATATCTTCACAACTGGTCGGTTTGTAGGGTGAGTGTAGTTCTACGTTATTGTAAATCCTTTATTAAAATAATTCATCTGTTAAATTTTCTTTTTCAATTTCATCCTGTAAACAGTTTCACATTCGTCATTTTGCACTAATGAAGGAAATGCGCTACGTTGATTTGTTTTCAATCATGTTTATTGAGGGCGGGGATTTGTACTTTATACAGCTGTGTGGATTATTTTACGGTTAACGCTTGCACGTGGGATTGGTCCCAGGTTGGTTTGACTCGTATTTATTTTGTTGTTTATGTATCAGAAAATTTAATATTAGATTCCTGATGATATTCATATTTGTTGTTAATTTTTCTTTAGAAAGGGAGAAGTTCTCACGAAGAAACTAATGGTCACTACCCAGATAAGTGTTTCCTTCAGTTTAGACATTCTCGGGTAACCGTTCCTCTGAGTTCTGTTGTGCCTGTTAGTTCTGTTGCCAGAAAATATATTCATCTAGGGATTGTAAAACATGCGAGCATGGTTCACAGTATAGGCAGCGTAGCAGAGTCAAGTTACGAAGACCATAACATTATGTTCCGTTAATTTACACTCGACACCTGATATATTTGAAAGCAGCTTTCATCAAAAAGCTTCGTGATGCGTCCTTAATTTTTAACCCATTGTCAAGTGTTGGACTCCACACGGTTAGACTGGTACTACTTACAAATGACTGCTGGTTTAAAATATTCGTATACATGGACTGGAAAGTGAGTGAGGAGCATTTGTTATTCATGCTAAAAAGATGTGCTTGACCATCCTTTGGTTATTGTGACACAGATGGCGGTAGGGAAGTCCAATTTATGTAAAAGTAACCGTGCAAGAAGACTTCAGCACGGAGTTGTTTCATTTCGCCATTATTAGTATAACTGGTTAGATTAACGTTTGTGACGTGTTTGTGAAAAGAAACGTGTTCAGCAAAATTTCGATACTGATGCAGTACTAGTTAAGTAATAATAGTCCTTGAATCCCGTAAAGTTACAGCATTTCACAGTCAGAACTACATATTACTCACCAATTGGTTAGATGAATTTAATTGTAGGCTCTAGTTTAGCTTGGTTAATGCCCGAGTAACATTTATTTGTTGCATTTCTACTGAAATTTATCCCTCCTCTTGTCCATCGTCTCGTAATTCCTCAAATGTGCTGGTTCATTGGTGAATAGTCTTTTATTGAAGGTGTGGACAAAAATCTGGTCTTATGCTTCGTTACTCATGCATGGCCATTTACGGTTTCTCAAATACTACTGAATACCTTAGATTAAGTTCCTGTGCAATGAGAAAACGCTGACTTTTAAGATATGATAAACGATGAAATAAAGCAAACTGGTAGTACATAAAACACATTTCCTCTTACTGTCAGTAAACTTTTTCAACCGAGATATTAAGCTTCCATTCATTTCTCAAACGAGAATTGTTGTCTAAACTACATCATCCTTATTTTGGCGGGTTTTGAATATGTCAGTGGGAAGCTACCGACATTTAAGTGGATCAGAAGTTTTCACAACGACCACTAAGTGGTGGGTGACAAAATCGGAGGGACGAAGTTAAACTATAGGGTCCCAGGGGTGCCAACGCTTCGTTGGTCTTGAACGCATGCTAATCATTGGCTAACGACACCCGTCATTATTGTAGAACATGTATGAACGCTATTCACCAAATAAAAAGCAAGCTTCACCCAGATCACGTTTTTAAGTTCTGTTCGGATGTGTCAGTGGCTCGTTAGGGTTAGTATGAGGGTCAAAGTAGGCATTAGGGCTAGGGTTACGACTAAGGTTGGGTTTATAATATGTTTTATTTTATTTTACTGTCCACTGCAAACCATAGTAATTCAACCGAGGGCTTTTGGGGAAGACTGCAAAACAGGATAAGAGAAAGAAGCAGTTCACCTTGGTGAATACATGTACTGGCCCAACCTAAAAACTAGTACTTATTATAACTGAGGCGTATTTTTGTCTTGTCAAAGATATCCTATGTAGTGTGCTTTTACACTTCTTCGTAAATAAGCGTCATATTTTGTGCGGAAATCACCTGTTTCTATAGTTGGTTGGTTCAAGACTTTTGCTTTCTAATCCCTTGGGACTCCACAGTCTAACTTTGCCATCGCAAGTGGAAAGAGTATGAACAGTAAATAACGCCTTTCAACACCATGGACATTGACTCTAACAAACTGATTGCTGGAAAAATCTTAGCACTTGTGCTGCAAATGACCACGTCAATTCCCACAACTATAACGTGTCCATTAAAAGTGGAATATATGAAGGATTATTCGTTTTCAGTGATAAGTTTCTGCGCTAGATTTCCCTTGTTAGGTTGTATTTTATGGCCAGTAGTGAGTTTAACTGTGTTGTTACTCTATGGGGAAGTCAATTAATGGGACTGTTGACCTATCGCTTAAGGTGGTTGGAAAACGTGCCACTTATCGGCTGAAACTTTACTTAGTTTGTGATGTAGGCTGATCATGGTCCCAGGGATTCAAAGAATCAGTATTTGAAGACTTGGTGACACAACCCAAAGTCAATCTCAATGGCCCAAATACACTCCTTGTAATGCCTTGGGGTTCATTAAGTCCTGATTATTCTTCATGTAATTAATAGTCCTCCCTCGCATTCCCCATTTTTGTATTTCTTTTTCAACATATTTCCCTACCTACATACTTTTGCGGAGCGCAGTCGTTTACAATGTCGCACTTCTGTGCAAATTTGTGTTAATAGTTCAATTCACTCCATCTTGATACTTCGCTTTTGTAATCATGCCAGCTCTAGTGAGAAAGTTATCTGTGAAATGTCAAGCCAGGTCTTTGTCATTCTGCGTCACCCGTAAAACCAGTGAGATACCGGACTGTTTATTAAACTCCATAGTACACAGCAGGTGTTTTCAATATACAACTTTGAGACGCAGCTGCAAGGCAGAATTTTAAGTTTTAAAGTATCTGCTTTTAAATTCATCGTGGGACCACCACCATATGGAACTTAGTTATTTGAAACCAAGACGACACGATAATGAAGAAAAAAGACATGATGTTAGTGCCAATAGGATGCACCACACAAGATACAACAATGATATGAGAGAAACTGACACGAAACAGATAGTCAAAAAGAAGGCTTAGGAAGTATAAGGAAAAAGAGAAATGCATAGTATTTGCCACTCGCTTCCATTCTGATACATATCTGATAGTGTCTTTAACCACCGAACTCTACGCCATCAAGGGAGTTGTGATTTGTCGAACTAAGGCAACGCAAATATCTGTTGTCCATTTACGTCGCGTCATTAGGTCACCACCTATCCTCCGCGTTCAATAAATGACACGACTAATGAAGTCTGTGGGATGTGTTTGAACCAAGGTCTCTCCCTAACTGAAACATGACTGTCCTAAGGAACTACTTTTGCCTCTGATCCAGAAGAAAACAAAACCGCGTTTCCGTGATGGCAAGTTTTTAAGGCATTCAAGTGCTATTCGCTTCTCTTGTGTCCTAAAACTCATGTGACTTCATTGGGAATTAAGGTTTCATAACTCCCCTGAGTGAACCCTGCAGTCCGATGGTTGAAACCAGAGAGCTGCGTTCCTGATTTTTGAAAGAGCCACTCCTGTCATGTGACGTCAGTGTATTGTATCTACCTGGAAGAGATTATAAACTCTTGGCCACGTAAGAACCACGAAATAAGTGGAGCCTACTGTGCTATGTCATTTGTAGGTGAGAAACATTTAATGTAGCTGTTAGCCTCTGTCAACCATTGTGTGGATTGTGTTGCGTCACCTCCTCTATTGCATAGTGTCAACCAAATTAGGGGAAATTCATGAGTAACCAGACTCAAACGATTCACTTTACCATATTAAGGAGGATTACTGTATTAGTTCAGCAGGATATTTGAAACAAAAAACAAGAGACTAAGTTATATGCAACTGATTGGATGCGTCCCCCTATAGTCTTCATTTCAGTCCTATCACTAAATTACTTCATTTGTCTTGCTTTTTCAGTTAACGCCATATATTCTTCTGGAACTCTAGGTTATGTTTCGCATCACTTTCTCGCTACTTATCATAGTATGTTAGTGTAAGGGTGGCCATTTGGTGAGTCAAACACAAGTGTAATGTCTTGGGGTGGTTAAAGCATCTTTAACACTAAATAGCTAAATATGCATAATTTGAAAGTTTGTAAGAATGCCACTCATATAGACTGTTTCAATTGCAGGATGTAACTTATCTTGTGGTACATACTTTAAACGTTATCTCTTAGTTTTTATAGCATGTTAATCAATTTCTCTTTTTTTTGGTTTCACGCATATAGTTACACGGAAATGACGCTCCGCGCTGGTGCGTCCAATGTGACTTTCCGAGCTTGGCGGCGCTACTTCACCCTATCATCTGTTGACTCAGTTGTCGAACTAATGCGAGAAGTATTTTCTAGTTGTGGGGTAGTGCTTTCTGATGAACAAATGAGCATGAAATGTTTGAAAAACAATACTATCAACACTCTTAAAACAGCTGATGGCGTTGATTCCTCTTCCTCTGCTAAAGAGCCCAACTTGGCGTTTGTGTCTATAGTATTAGGTTACATTGAAAATCACCTCACTTGTAGTTTACCAGAAGAATTTGACTCATTAAAATTAAAAAACGGCCTTCATCACAAAGTCCTTCAACGGAGAAAAGAATTGTCATCTCAAAATTATTCTCGTTCACGTTCATCTTCTTTTACAAAATCACAATCACCCCTTTCTGTTCATCTCGAAACGTCAGAGGAACACTTGGATAGTCCTAGTGATAATCGAGAGTTGGATAGTAAATCAAGTTCTTTATCCGGATCATTATCATCAAGTTCATTCGCACAAGAAATTACTCAGAATACTAGTCACACAAACGAATCTCCTGTCTGTCGTCGTCGTCGTACTAGACAACTTGGTTCATCTCGTCGCATTCGTCAACGAAATGAATCAGGTGTATCTGATTCTACAGAAAGCACAATAGAATCGCTGCATACTAATACTCCTAAAGATGAACCATTACAAATAATAACAGACATGCCTGTTCGAAAGCGACGTCGATTCTCAGATAGTACTTTACCAAATTCATCATTTCCCTGTTTAACATTCGATGAACTCGAACGTTTGTATCTGAATTTCTACAATCTTATTACAACTTCTCCTAAAGTAAGTTATGATTAAGTAAAACCCTTCATTGTCTTGTTTATCTTCGTTAACATCTGAAAAATTATATGATAAAGGTTTCAAGCAGTCTTTTACCAGTTTTTTATGAATTGATATATGTATGTGTAAATATAAAATCACTGTATTTGTTATAAGCTCCGTATAACTGACTTGGTGTAATTTGTGCTAAATTTAGTAACCTAACCTATATAAATATTCAACATATAAATAGTTACAAATGTCTGGAAAGAATTTGAGCATGGAGTTTGATTCAACCAGTAACAATAATCCCATCGTGTCTTAAATACCAAAGTATTTTTTCTTGTTGAGAGTTTCTCGTGTAAGCCATAGTGCCTACAATAAAAATGAATAGATTTCTACAAAGACTGAAAAAATAAAGTCAAATAGTACACCAAAGTTAACTCTTCTGCAGATTAGAATACTCTTATTTTCACTCCAAAAAAAGAAAATATTCTGAAATCATAAATTTAAGAATGTTCAGTAAATTTTATGTGGTTGCTTCAAATACCTTCTTATATTTGACAGTCTTAGTAATCACAATTTATGTTCCACTTTAATTTTGTCAGTTTTAGTCAGTTATTAATCAGAAATAGATTATTTGCAATTTACCGGTATCAGTGTGCATCGGTGGCACAGCGGTAGAACGCTTGCCAACCACGCCTGTGCTCCGAGGTTCGACCCCCGACCAACGCACTCCCTTACCTCGCCAAGCCAGTAATAGGACTGATAAAGAGAAAAGGTTGGGAATGAGGCTAGCAACCTCATCCCGTAAAAATAAAACCACTACCACCGAAACTTCAGGCTTCTAGCTTTGAAGCCCTATGGTCCACGTAAAATATATATATATATATATATATATATATATATATATGTATACAGGTATCTAGTACAAACTGTACTCAACATATAATGTTAAAATCAATAATAGATACAGTTTAATCGAATTACAGTACTTCTAAAATATTTTGTTATTCAATTCGTATATTCATTATATTCTACTATTTCGTCTATATTTATCTAGCGTGACGTGATAGCTACAGTTAGATGCTGATACAACTAATTGACTCAAACAACTTTGTTTCCGTAATTCAAACCTCCACCGTATCACTTCACCACTTTACCTCCTACCAGACTAGATAAGCGTTCACATCTATAAAAGGGTTCATAGCTGCTTGTGATAGTCTAAGGCATTATTGCAAGGCAATATATCTAGATTTCAGTAGATTCAATCCTTTTTATGAGTGATTTCACAGCATGGCCTTATAGTAGTAGTAATAGTGTGCCGAAAAATTTCAAAATAAATTTATATAAAATTACTTTGATGTGAATATCATTGAAAATTCAAAGTCCACCTAACATGTCTTTCATTCTGTCTATTTTGAACATTGGTATTATTATGGTATACCTATTTGTCCTCAACTTCATCGACTTCGAAAAAGCCTTCCCCAGACAGCGCTGACCGATAAGTAATTTAGAAACTAATCCAACACTACGGCGTGCAGTGTCCAAGTCTGTATCAACCTCATTCAATAGCTGGTTATGTGACAGGTGGTCCACAACGGGAAACTCAGCGAGGCGTTCGGAGTGAATATGGAAAGAAGTAAGACAAGATGGCTGTCTGCCTATTATCACTCACGATGATATTCGCAATTGTCGTGGACTGGATTATGGGTCAGACTGTGAGTGGGGAGTGAGGAGACAGGAATACGCTGGACGACTGATAAGTAGACTCTAGAAGATCGGGATTTCTCGCGTGGATGATTTATGTTTATTGTAGGAGAAAATGGAGATAGATCGGGTATACATTGAGGAGACGATCGAGTGACATCGCACCCAATGCAGCCCATCTCTCGAATGGAATCCAAATGGGAAACGACAAATAGGTCGTCGGTGCGAGGGTGACATGAAAAAGATCGTGGGAAGAGATGAGAGATCATGGGCAATTATGGACGTAGCCGAAGAGAACGGCAGAAAATAGAGGAGAGTGAAGATGTGTTGTTGAAGCCCTATGTTCCACTGGGAACTCAAGGAAATAATAATAACAGTTTGTCCTGAATGTTCGATGAGTGTTTAACTAGTTCCTGTGTTGTTTCATCTTTTCACCTGATCATCTGTGTGTTTACGTTTGTTTCATAGCGTACACAAACAGTGATAACATGTATAAAACGGTTTTAGTACTTCGCTAAGTTTTACATTTCTCTTATCATCACTCTACATGAATTCTTTTCTTTTTATAGTTCATTTTTTTTACCTTCACGTTCCCAGTGGAACATAGGGCTTCAAGCTAGTGGCTTGAAGTTTCTGTAGCAGTGTTTACTTTACAGGATGGGGGTTGCTAGCCTCATGCCCAACCTTTCCTATTTACCAGCATTGTTTCTGGCTTAGCGAGGTAAAGGAGTGCGTCGGTGGCCGGGGATCGAACCCCGGACCATGTGCATGGTCGGCGAGCACCCTAACCGCTCTGCCACCGACGCGCTTCGTTCGACATTAAAATGGTTAATTTCGAATAGAGTTGTATAATATTCGTCTTCTGAAAATTCACCTTCGATCTATTTATTTATTTATAGTTGAAACCTTTTGTTGAAACATCGTGTCTCAATAATGGCACTGAGTTGAAAACACCGAAATCTCAGTCAACTTCAACAACAATAAAGAAGTATGCATCTCGTCCCCTAATTTGTGCCATATGCGAAGTCCTGTGGAGTCAAATGGCGGTGAGTCGTGTCAAAGAGCGATTAACTCATACACAAAGTGTATATTCTTTTCTAACAAGTAAGCAAATATCACTTTTCTTCTTTTACCTTTCGCAAGGAAAGTTAGTTTATCAATAAAGCCGGTTATAGTTATAAGTATAAGTATGAGTATTGTTATAAGGAAGTATGAGATCGTACTTCTAGGGATCAGTCCTATAGTACGTATCACCGGTTATTGTGTTGTCACCATAAGAATGTTGTGAAACTTTGATTTCTATATATAAATTCCACGTGTTATTAGTTTTACACACTTTTAATGGGCGATAGATTTATATAAACGTTTGTGTGTTGCATATTCCAAGTGAGAACAGCAATAATATCTGAGTACCTTCAAGTTGACAGGATGTTAAGTGTGTCAGAATCAAAATATGACGTGTACGGTTGTTCTTTTTATGATCCCTTAAAGTAGATGCAAATTAATTTTGTCTATTAATAATAATTATTATTATAATTATAATAGCTTTTTATTCCAAAGAATACTTTTAGTACAAATATGGAATTTTCAGGATGCACTCCGGAATGCATTTAGTTTCCTGATTACAGGGGTAATAATTAAACCACGGCATTTATATTGACAATATTATTCAGTAAGCATATGAATATTAAATTTAATTGAGTATCTTAGGTAGAATATACTAATAAATGGAAGAATAAAGAGGGCTGTTTACTTAGTGTAAATAGTGTCGTGCCTTACACTTTTCTCATCACATAAAATGTGTGCCCACCAAGTAAGTTATTGTGGAGTTTTAGTATTTACTCGTCCGAGTATATAGCCTTCTACAGTTGCTTCTAGTACTACCTGATGAGATGCAAAGAGAGAGAGAGAGTTGTATAAAGAGAGGATGCTCAGCGTCTGACAAGATTATATTTGCTGATTTCTTGCTTGGGTCCATGTGTCCACTGTCTACAACTGTATTAACAAGTTAATTTAGTTAGTAACATTCCACTTGCCCTACTGAAAGCTTCAGTTCAGCGAAGATTAACGGTGAGCAATAAAGAAGAACAGGTAGACTATGAGAATTAACAGACTGTAAAAGTAGAGACTGAGTGATACTAGATTGTCTTAACCTCCTAACGGAGAGCATTAAACCAAATATTTTCCTAGAAAGTAACATGATTTCGGAATACCAGGAAACATCAGAGGAAATACACAGTCCAAGGTATTTAACACTCGACTTAGTTTCAACTTCAGTATCATCAATGTGATAGTAGAATTATGCAAACAAACCAGTTCATGTAATTAGAATGTTAAAAATCCAGTGATCTAAGACTTCTGGTGATATAGGTGTTATGTTTTGTTTACTATTTTTACTACAGTTATTATTATTATTTATTGTCATCAGTTTACTGAATAGGTCGTCAAATACATTAAAATTGTTCACAAATTTGTTTTACCAGCGCATATATTTTTAGTGTAGGCATTCACTAGATAAATGACTCATTGTCTTGAGGTTTTCAATTTCAATAGGTGCGACTCTCACTCTACTTTCTTCGGTCCTTATACAATAAATGTGTGGCACACAGCATATTTTATTTGTTATATTATTCCTTTATTTTCCGAGTGGAACATAGGGCTTCGACAACACATCTCCACTCTTTCCTATTTTCTGCCGTCCTCTTCAGATGGGTCCGCGATTGCCAAAACCCTCTCACTTTTTCCTAGCATGATCTCTACCATGTCACCCTCACACCCACTACCCACTCGTCGCTTCCCATCGGGGTTCCACTCGAGCAATGACCTCCATTGCGCACAATGCCTTTCGACGGTCTCTTCAATATATGCCTGATTCATCTCCATCTTCTCCTACATATTTGCTCAGCGTTCTGCTCATGGCTGGTTTGTTGCCAGCTAGAGTTTCTTGTTACTAATTTTTTCTGCTCGGTTGGCCATTTGATCTTCAAGATAAGGTCAGCTAAGGCAGCTGTTGGAAAAACTCTGTAACTTGTTAGGAATCATTTTCGTGACACGCAGTGCAAGTTTCTGACCCGTATAGAAGGATTGAGTGACTGACTGACTTCACATTTGTGTTGAAAATCCGAATCTTGTCCATCATGCATCTGAGTGAAGCAGAAGATTTCCAAACTGGTTTCAGGTTGATTGATGAAGGCGTGTGCGCATCTTGCCTTTCCGATTCTGACTGGCTGACTTTGACATCTTCATTCGTTCAGAATGCCTTTGATTGAAATGATGCTAGCTGCCTAGATAAATGAAGGAAGTAACCTCTGTTGAATCTCCCCCGTTGATGGTGATTGGTACTGGTTGTTGTTGTCGCTGTTGTTGCGGTTCCTTGGTTATCCTCATCACCTCCGTCTCCACCTTCCCTGTGTTCACCTGTTCATCACTCCTGTCTTCGCTGACTGACTGCCTCCTCTGCCAGTGTGTTGGTTTTTGCCTGTAAGTCTTCAAGTTTGTGTAACATTATAAATAAGTCATCCACGCGAAAAATCCCGATCTTCTAGAGTCTACTTATCAGTCGTCCAGCGTATTCCTGTCTCCTCACTCCCCACTCACAGTCTGACCCATAATCCAGTCCACGACAATTGCGAATATCATCGTGAGTGATAATAGGCAGACAGCCATCTTGTCTTACTTCTTTCCATATTCACTCCGAACGCCTCGCTGAGTTTCCCGTTGTGGACCACCTGTCACATAACCAGCTATTGAATGAGGTTGATACAGACTTGGACACTGCACGCCGTAGTGTTGGATTAGTTTCTAAATTACTTGTCGGTCAACGTTATCTGGTGAAGGCCTTTCCGAAGTCGATGTACTTAGGGTACAGGTTTGACTGACATTTTATTCTCTGTTCCTTGTTCACAATTCGTGGAGTTGCGATTCGACCAGCACATGATTCGCCTTTCCTGAATCCAGCTTGTTCCGCATCCAGTGCATTTTTATTCTCTGCACGACCTGGTGGTGTAGTCGCTGTCGATAAGGGCATGATTCCACGACAGTTCTTGCAGAACGAAGGCGTAAGTCGCCCTTCTTTTAGCAACGTAACAAGATAGCCTTTCTTCCAACCACTAGACACCTTTCCTTCTACCAAAACCTTTTGCAGCATGTTTTTCATGAGAAAAAAACTGGTCTGAGTATTTGAATCCTAACAGCAACAACAAAGAAGACAGTGATGACTGATTTATCAGAAATTGTTTATCTCCGCTTATTGTGAAAGTGTAATTCTGTCATTTTCTCTAGGTGCTGGCATAATATTTAAAAGAGGATACTTTGTGTCGAGTATCAGATTTAATTAAATATTTATTTTTTTCATCGATTAGAGTAAAAAAATAAAACTGTCTTCTCTTTTCTTCAGTTGCAACAACACACTGGTAGTCTAGTCAGTCAGTCACGTTTCTATTCAGCAAATAAATGCATAAGATTAGAATCCGCTTGGCAATTAACTATATATTTATTGTGTTTAACGTGATGGCCATATTTTGCTGACAGTCTGAAATGTGCTAAGAGTTATTAAATAATAATAATAATAATTAAATAAAGGAAATGACAAAGGAGTTTACTTTTTACTGCAGAAAAACAAAGAAACAAAGTCGAGGGTCAGGGATAAATAAAATTCCAAGGCGGGAAAAATATTCCCCCCCCCCCCCAAAAAAAAACAGAACAGAACAATGAAATCTATTTGTTTTTGTATCATATTATATAAGACCAGTAATAAAGGAGTTATTAGGTTGGTAGTAAGTAATTCACTTTTCGGACAATAGACAACAATTAACGTTATGTATCTAATCTTTCGTTTAATGGAGCCGGCATGCTAAGTGGCTCGTTTTCTACGATACATTTTGACTTGTTGTTATTGGATAGTTGGAGGAAATCGGCAAAAAGACCCTTGGACCTAGCCTTTGTGCTTGTTGTAACACTTGTCAGCAAAACATATCTTCATTCTTGAAGGAATTCATGTCCCTTTTAAGATTCGAACCCGTGTCACCCTGTGCCGTAGATAGAGATGTTACCACTGAGCTGTTCGGGTTCGTGACTGACCTATTGTAAGGACTGTATTGGACACTTCGATTAGTAACTAATGCCATGCACCCTGTCCTTGGAGTTGGTGCAGCCTGGATTCTGTTAGTCAAGTGTGCAATATGGTTCACTATGCTAGGTGATTCGCCATCACTATCCACCGATTGCCCCCAACCAACATTTTGCCTATCCAAAAGCACATAAGTCAACGAACAAATAAACCTACGGTATTTCAAACTTTGGTTTATTGTGCGCATTTGAAAAGTTATGAAAACTGTTGAACTGTGTGTCAATGTCGATCATTCTCAGCAGACTATGATTACAATTTCTTTGTAGTTTTATTAGTGTTGATTTCTTGTTGTCGGCGTATATGTTCGTCAGATAGAATAGATACTCATTTATCTAGGTTACGGGTGTATGCCTAATCTAGTAGAAACAAACTACTAAAATAGGCCACGTTCATGGTTAATTGACCATAAACCGATGTGATTCGAATGTTATCTCTATTGTTTTTACAGCGAATGTGGCCTGCCTGCCTGTCTGCCCCATCATTTCTCCTGACTTGTATAAAATTGACATGATTATCTTCTTTATATGGTATTGTAAAGCTTATTCTCGGTTGGCATACTGTTAAGAATCTAGAGTAATTTAAAGACATAACCCTATAAACCATGAGGATATCATCCATCTATTGTATATGTGTTATCTTCCTTGACGTTCTGTCAAACATCGTCAAGCTAATAACTGCAAATGTTTGACAGTTTGGTAGCAGTTATATTCAGTCCCTTATAAGACTTATTTTGTTGAGGCTCAATGCACAAATGCCTCCAAACTTCGGAATAGACAACACTCGTATCATGTCATTAGTAAAAATAATTATCTGAGATGAGTTCACATCATTGTGTCATTTGATTCACAAGGAATTCGACTTTTAATTTTGAAGTTAATTAGGCAATTTTTTTTCATTTCAATAATCAATCCGTGTTTCAAAACGTCTCATTTGGAGAAAATTTTTTCTTTCATTTTTTTTATAGCGGGGATCCTGGACAGTTTTGGTTTAGCGTATACAGTTGTAGCCGCTTGTCAACTTCTTGGTTATTCCGACGTTGACTTAGCATTATCCGAAGATCATGGCTGGGTTGAATTCGGTCCACCAGAGTCCCGTCAAACAGCTGATGTAGCTAGTTGGGTGCAAGAATCTCATACATCCACAAATTCACACAGTACAGAGGCCTTTTCAAGTCTACATAATGATGTATTACAACAGACGGAACACCTTAGAACCAGAAAAACACCTGTAGAAGACGAATGTAATCCGCCTCCTATACGTATCCCACCACTTGAACACTCTTGGCTTTATGTAAACGGATATCCAGTGGTTTGTCGTCCACGTATAATGGCAGTAGCTGCTGCGATTGCAGCAATTCAACCAGGAGCCTCAATTTCAGCTGTTACTCATGCGCCGACCTCAGAACCTTTTGCTTATGGAATGCTTTCACCAAATCCTTCAGTTTCCTCTGGTGGTGATCTTATTACACCTACTGGTCTAGTTAGGCATTTATCATCTGCATCGGTGATTTCTATGCAGGTAAGTGATAATGATTAGATCAAGTGTACTGAACGTTAAGAGAACAGAAGACACTAAATTATAAATATTATTTCTGTCATAGAATAGCTTTTATTCATCCACGTGACGTGTGTATGTAACTGTTGTGATAAATTAAGCCATTATTTACTAGACTGACGTCTTTTGCCAATAACGTCTGTCAGTCTGTCTTTCATCCATCTAAACATGCAGAGCTTTAAACAGTATTCAGGATGCACTTGCCTACAACCCCGTATGAATTAATAAATGAACCTATGGTTGGAGATTTGGCATAAAACTAATCGCAGTGATGTAGATAAAACTTTGACTACTACACACAGCAATACTTCCTCTTGTGTGTATGTGTTAATAATTTTCATCTCCGTCTTCAGGATACATTAAATCTTCATTTATTTACAGTTTTAATCAAAACCCTAAAGTAAACAATAGTTTGTTTTACAAACACTTGAAACAGTTACAAAATAGCAGTACTATAGTTCGTGTCAAATCATTGTGGGGGGCGGGACGGGGCTTCTTTCACTTAACCTCTGTCTAACTAAATAGTGTGCATTCAAAAAGGTTATTGCTCATCTTTCTTGATATATTTGTATGCCTTCACCTTCATGACTTTGTCCACTACGTCCTCCTTAATAAACCCAGTATTAACTATTCGAAAATTAACAGAAAAACGTTCATCCGCTTGTTCATTTCATGGAGCAACGTAGAACTCCATCCAACTTTGTATGTCGTTATGATTAAATGCGTAAAAAATGCGGGACTACTATGATAATATCTTCAATTAATTATCACAAGAAAAAAATGCCTAAAGTTTGTATCTGCCCATTTGTGCTATCTCAGAGCACACCACTAAAGTCAATATGGACTTCGTTGGTTAAGTAACTCATCTTTCCCTCTCCTCATTTATATATATATATATATAGTTTTTATTTTCTCTCTGCGTTCCCGATGGGACATAGAACTCCAAGCTTGAGCTTCGAAGTTTCGATAGCGGTAGTGTTTTCTTACGGGATGGGGTTGCTAGCCTCACGTCCAACCTTCCCTCCTTACCGAGCTTACCCCCGGCCAAATGAAATGAAGTATGTCAGCCGGGGATCCGACTCCGGACAGCGTAAGGCGTGCTTAGCTATATATATGTATGTCTACTTTCATTATTAGTTATTTAGTTTAGACTATCAGTACATGGACAAGGGACAATCCAAATCAAATTAAAAGCTTTCAGGGAATCAGGAGCTGCAGATAGACCACAAGCCAAGTTCAACACTCAAAAGCTGAAGGACCAGGCTACAAAGGACATCTTCATTGCAAGCATAAAGGACAAAGCCGAGACACAAATCAACACTAGCGAAGAGGTCGGCGTTGAAAAGCACTGGAACAACTTGAAAACGGTGTGGAGCCAAACCTGCATAGAAATTCTAGGCAGAAAAAAGAGACAGGACAAACAGTGGCTCACTACGGACACTTGGAAACTAATAGAAGAGAGAAGGACAGTGAAGCAAAAGATTATCCAGTGCACGGACGAGCAACAAAAACAGGAGCTGAATGCAAGCTACAATACACTGAACAAAAGAGTGAAGAAAAGTGCCAGGGAAGACAAAAGAAAATATTATGAAACCATGGCAAACGAAGCAGAACAAGCTGCAGGCAAAGGAGACCTCGCCACACTCTACCAAACAACTAGGAACCTTTCGGGCAAACGTTCGACACAGATTAAGCCAATAAAGGACGACAATGGAAAGTCAATCACCAAAGAGGTGGAACAGAGAAAGCACTGGGTTGAACACTTCAAAAGACTTCTAAATCGTCCGCCACCTACAACACGTCCAGCAATACCAACAACGGAAGCAGAACTACCAGTGAACACTGACCCCCCGACGAAATCAGAAGTCCTGAATGCAATCAAGATGCTTAAAACTGGGAAAACACCGGGACCAGATGGAATCCCAGCAGAGGCTTTGAAAATAGACCCAGAGACAACAGCGGACTTGATGACACCACTACTGGAGAAGGTGTGGAAAGAGGGCAAAGTACCCGAGGATTGGAAGAACAGTTACTTATTCAAACTTCCAAAGAAAGGAGACTTAAGTCAATGTAAAAACTGGCGTGGAATTATGCTTCTGTCCATTCCAAGCAAGATACTAAGTCGCATCATCCTGGAGAGAATCAAACAAGCCCTAGATGAAAAACTTCGTCCGGAACAGGCTGGATTCAGGAGAAACAAATCATGTATTGATCAAATCGCCACTCTACGGATCATCATTGAACAAAGCTTGGAATGGCAGTCACCTCTCTATCTCAACTTCATCGACTTTGAAAAGGCCTTCGACAGCGTCGATCGAGAGGTCATTTGGAAACTACTTCGCTACTACGGGGTCCCATCGACAATTATACACCTCATCCAACAGTTATACGACAATGCTGCATGCCAAGTAATCCACAACGGGAAACTTACGGAAGCCTTCGAAGTGAGGACGGGAGTGAGGCAAGGCTGTCTACTATCACCAATGATCTTCCTGATTGCAATTGATTGGATAATGCGACAGACAACGGCAACCAACGAGGGAACAGGCATAAAATGGACTGACACAAAAGACTTGGAGGATCTGGATTTCGCCGATGATATATGTCTGATTTCCCATAAACTGGAAGATATGCAAGTGAAAAGTAACAAGTTGGCAGAAGAAGCATCAAAGATAGGACTTCACGTGAACATAGATAAAACAGAGATAATGAAGATTCCTAGCCAACATCAACAGCAACAACACAACAGACCACAATAAGCATAAATGGGAAGAACCTGAAAGAAACAACCTCCTTCACCTACCTGGGAAGCATCGTCTCAACTACAGGCGGAACTGACGAGGACATCAAAGCCAGAATCGGAAAAGCAAGACAAGCTTTCATTACTCTCAAATCTGTGTGGAGGTCAACAGCACTCAGCATCAAAAATAAGATCCGGATTTTCAACTCCAATGTGAAGTCAGTGCTACTATACGGATCAGAGACTTGGCGAGTCATAAAGAGCATCTCAAACAAACTTCAAACCTTCATTAACAACTGTCTCCGCTCAATACTCAAGATCAGATGGCCAGAAAAGATCAGCAACAGGGATCTCTGGGAGCGAACCAATCAGGAACCGATTGTGAAACAAATAGGCAGAAAGAAATGGAGATGGATTGGCCATACGCTGAGGAAACCATCAAGTGACATCACTAGACAAGCCCTCGAGTGGAACCCGAAAGGGAGGCGGCGAGTTGGTCGTCCAAGGGTGACTTGGAGGAGGTCATGCGAGGAGGAGATGAAAGCATGTGGACAGACCTGGAGCAGGTTGAAAAAGTTGTCAGAAAACCGAAGTCAATGGAGGTGCGCAGCTGAAGCCCTATGTTCCTCTAGGAACTAAAGGATACAATAATAATAATAATATAATCAGTACATGGAGTACGTTGGTGACACAGCGGAAGAATGCTTGCCAACCACCCTTGTGGTCCGGGGCTTAACCCCCGGCAGACACACTTCTTTACTTCGCCAATCCAGTAATGAGACTGGAAGCTTAGGTATGATGCTTGCAACTCTATCCCGTAAAAACAAACACCACTGCTACCGAAATTTCAAGCCTCTAGCTTTTGAAGTCCTGTGTTCCTCTGGGGAACGTACAGGAATAATTTCAAAAAAATAAAATATAAAAAAATAGTTCGTGTCTAATGATGAATTCTTTTTTTGGCCTCTGTTTCACTATTTTTAGCTGGTTACGTTAAAGCATAGACTTTTATGGTTATGCTTCGATGCTGGCTGTCTGTCACGTTATCCTTTGGGATTAACTAATTTGGGTGATTTAGAAGATGCATTTCCTACTATGGGACGTCTCGCTACATTTTTAAATTCATCCACGCTAAATACACCAACAGATTTGAAATGCACCGAAAATTCTATAGATCAGAAAAGGAATTCTGAGAATTCTCTTAATCATTCAAAAGTTTCATCAGTTGTTATGAATTCACACTTTAATTTATCGTCGGATATATCATCAAATTATCAACTGCCGGAAACTGTTTCACTAGCTTTAGCGCTATATAACGGTGCTGTTGCAGTCAATCAATATTATTACGCCAACCATCATGTTTATCCGTATACATGTTTAGCTGGATGTCTGTATAGGCACGGAGATCACCGAGGTGCATTACGTTATTGGGCAGAGGCGACTAAAGTGATTGGACAGTAAGTTCTCTGTTTCTTTTTATTTACACGAGATAAATTTTGTAAAAGTAGTCTTGAGATTACCATAAAGATCAGTTACTTTATTTTTTTGATTACAGCTTGATTCTACACCATATTTTTGATACAGATATGGAATTTTCAGCATGTGATATCGGTAGCCCAAATTCTGCAGGCCGACCATAGATATCAAGTGTGCGTCGGCAGGGGATTGAACCACGGACCATGTGCATGATCGGCGAGAGTCGTAACTGTTGTGCCACCGACGTATATATATATCTTTATATACGGCTTACATTAAACGACATGGAACAGAATGTTCAAACAGAAATATCCTATCCTGTTGCTAATGCCGTATTAAACTATGTGAATATGTGAGAATATTTCGTTGGAACACATTGTCTGTATCACACCATCACAACTTGACTTTGGTGTCTATTCTTTACTGTTGCCCAGGATAATATATCAGTTATTTAATAGTGCGATCAAAGTTCATACTATAGCTTATCAACATACTTAGTCAAATACCCTGTGTTAAAGTCAAAAATAATATTTTGAATACCTTTTCACTGCATAAACATAAAAACCCCATTTGATTAAACACTCATATTCCAACTGGTTAAGTGCACATTTCAAACCGTAGCATAGCAATAGAGCGTAGTGATAATCTCATATATATATATATATATATTTCCACAGTTCAATTTGGCAATATCAATAAAATAAAATATATGTAGTTAAACATTATATTTGATGTTAGTGTCGGATGTTATTCCCATAGTTCAAGACTGTATTAACAAAAGAATACGATAGTATCTATTTGAACATTCTATGTTAGAGTCAGAATACACTTCCCAAGGTTTTTATATACTGCATTGGCAACAGAATACTATGTGTATTTGAACATTGTATTTCATTTCACTTGACGTAAACCGAAATCACACATAAACTGTATAGATATATATAAACAGCGGCACGACTAGTGAAATATGCTGTGGCTTCCGTGTCTTGCCTTCTATCATTACAATGTGATTACTGCTTATCTTAATGTTAACCCCTATCACGTGACGATGACTTTGTATGAATGTTGTATTCTATCCTCTTGTGCGTATGTAAATATTAGTACATTGACTATTTTGATCTACACACCAATACTAATCGGTACGACAGTGGCCTTCTCACGCTTTAAGTGTGTGATCTCTCTGTCTAACAAGTGCGATTCAAATTGTTTCAGAAACAAGTCTTTCTTATTTAGATATGAGATGTAACACTGATTGTCTGTCTGTTTTCGACATAGAACTATGCACAAATGTGCGGAAGTTCAAGTCGCCACACTCCGTGTAGCACGCGAAGCAAGAGAAGAAAGTACAAGAAAAGCATAATACAGACAGTAAGCAGAGGTGTGAGACAAAGGAGTAATAAAGAAAAACAAAACAAAAAGCACACTGTATCGACTGTGTTTAACTGGCGTGTTGCTAGGCTGTTAAAATGCATCAAAGTAAATGTGTCCAAATACCACTTCACTAATACACCTGTATTTTCAAGAGTGTTGCTTATATTCATCTACATATTGTCGATATTGAACGTGTTACTATGTCAACAACCTTATGTTTAAACTCTGTTCTGCCTTCAATTCACTAAGATTCACTTTCGAAACTCAGTGTATTTAGCAATTTATTACAAATTATCGCACCATAGGCTTGCAACCGCGTCCTCAGTAGTGTTCAGATGGTTACACATTAACGGTAACTGCACCAAACGGCTAAAATTCAGTCATTGAATTCGACGCTATTGGTTATTCAGCTGTTCAGTAGTATGATATGAAGGTAATGCATGCGCAACCTCTATATAATTTGTGAGTCCCGATAATATTTTATGAGCAAGCATATCCAATTGTATCATTATTAATATGATTGTTTCGTGCCACTCATTACGTAACTATCGCTTCTTCGCCCAAAATAGTTTACAGAAATTTAAGAAGAGAAATTGTGACATGTTTGATCACAAACCATTGGACGGTCTATGAGCCCACCTTGTAGCCTACATATCCTGGGTTCAAACCCTTGTGGGTAGTGAAGTAGAGCTAGACGTGGCTGGCTTAAACCAACTGTTGTGAATTTCATTGACTGATGAGGCTATATTTTGGTTTGACCACCACTAGCTCTCTTCCTACCTGTCCCCATGTCAGCTAACAATACCCGTCGACGAGGGACATAGATGGCCGGGCATGCGTAACATGTCCTAGCTATCTCTGTCGATGTGACTTCACAGTCTCGTATGCTGATTTCCCCTGTTTACTGAGCACTCGACCGATGACTCACTTCAATAGTGCTCACCCTATTATGCCACTTAACAACGAGAGTTAGGACTCAGACACATATAATCAAAGACAGCTAGCCGGGCTTTTCATGTCTTCCACTTTCAATGGCCATGTTTCACTCACAACCAGAAAGGAAGACACAGTGGACTGCTGAGCAGTCCACACGTCCTTCGGTCGACAGCCAGCCGGATATCGCGTCTACACCAAAGACCGCGTAAAAATCCTGCCAATTTTTTCTTATAGTATTTTCTGCTATTTTCAACAGGAAAACTACACTATTTTATTTGTTTGCCTGTCTCAGTAGTATATTCGATGTTACTTCCAGATCCTACTAGCCATTGTTCTTTTGTATCGGCTTTACGTGATTCTTCTATGACACGGACAATTTCGAAAAGATCGTATTATCTTTTAAAAACAGTGCAACTGACCAATTACATATTTATATACAGGTTTATGTGCTTCAATATATTAATTAATTCGGTTGCATTGATCCCTTAAAGGTTACTAAGACGTGTAAAGTTGTCATTGTCTATGAACTCGCATCACATTGGCTAAAATTTGACTGTTTATAGGTTATGGTAAGACTATAACTCGATTTTTAATCTAAATTAAGAGTAAAATAAGCTAATCTAATAAGCATGTTATATATATATATATATATATATATATATATATATATGCTGTAAACAGTTTTCATCACATGTTATTTGTAGATATGTATATACATGTAAGCCGACTAATTAAACATTTTTTTAAAGCTACAATCATACATCTGAAGATTGGGAAATTTATCGCGAACTTTTGGAGGTTGCTACGCATTCAATGCCACAGATGTTCCGATTAGCCAGTGAAAATTCACGTTATTGTTCTGAAGGTCTAATAGACACAGATCCTGATGGATGTTTGTATCAACCAGATAATATTTTAGGTAAGCTAAACTAATTTGTATATGCTTTTCCTGCTGTTTTATTACTATTATTATTCGTGTTATTCCATCAACATCACTTTCAGCTGCTTCCATGACTTGCTACAAGCTTCAGTTCCTACAGTCGCATAGTCCTCCAATATCGCCCTCAGACCTATGTTCTCAACTCTTCGGTTCCCCACTCAAGGCGCTAGTCTGGCGTGTGATTCCACTTGAACTTCTCCTCAATCCATCTCCATTAGCTTCTTAATATTTGATTGGGCAGTGGATAGAGTAGTTGGCTGGTTCTTTGTCAGAGTTACTTTCCAGCAAATCGTTTGGTCTTCAAAATATCGATACAGCGAGTGCAGCATCTGCTGATAAAAACTTCTTCTGTAGGCTGATGAAAATGCTTCCAGTGACACTCACTTGACATGAGTGTTAAAAATCCTGATCTGTTCTGAATAGTACATAGATTTTCACACTGACCTCAGAGTAAGCAACTGTTGTCTTGCTTTTTCAACTGGATATCGCTCGGGCAAATAAAACCGACAACTGAAGCCCTGTGTCTTCTCTTCCTCTTCTTCTACCTTGTTGTTTTCCGATTACCATTACCCGCCAAATGCAAAATGATGTTACAGGACTGGACTACATCGACGCCTAGTTTAAAAATAGGAAGTGAAGTGGTAGAGCACGTTGACCGCTTCACTTATTTGGGAAGTACCATCAGCCAGTGCCAACGGGCTGATCTCTGACGAAATCTCAGCACGAATACAAGGGGCTCGTTTCGCATTTGTTAGCTTACGCCGACTCTGGCGTAGACGAGATGTTCGACTATCGACCAAAGGACGGGTGTACTGCTCATCAGTTTGCTCCGTCCTCCTTTATGGTTGTGAGACCTGGTCACTGAGAGTGGAAGACATGAAAAGCCTGACCAGCTGTCTTTGATCATAGGTGCCTGCGTTCTATTTCCCGTGTAAAGTGGCATAATTAAGTGAGCAACATGGAGGTTAGGCGTAGAGTTCTAGGTAAACAGGGGAAATCAATCGACGAATGTCGTGAAGCTACATCGACTGAGATGGTTAGGACATGTGTTACGTATGCCAAGTCATCGCCTCCCTCGACGAGCTATGTTAGCGGATATAGGGTCAGGCTGGAAAAAAGCTAGCGGCGGTCAAACAAAAACTTGGCATCAGTCAACGAAATCCACAACAGCTGGTCTAAGCCACGTAGGAAGGTGTAGACTTCCAGGCTGGGGTCCTCGGGACGGTAAAAATCTATGGTTGGAAACAATTGGTGACATGGCTCAAAATCGTTCTCAATGCTTAATGCAGATGCATCCACTCCCTGTGACTTATGATCTTCAATGAAACTGTTTTGTATTTCTTTATTACTCCTTTGTCTCACACCTCTGCTCACTGTTTCTATTATGCTTTTCTTATACTTTCTTCTCTTGCTTCGCGTGCTACACGGAATGTGGCGACTTGAACTTCCGCACATTTGTGCAAAGTTCTATGTCGAAAACAGACAGACAGACCATTTTTTCGAGAATAATAAATTAAAAAACAAAATAATTGAGCAAAGAATATCCTTTGCGATAATTTCCTCTTCTGGTTCTACAATTGTATATGTGATTATATATATCTAGGATATTCTAGAATAGTGGTCAATATCAATATTAGTGTTTTTTAATTAACATCGATATGTCAAGTAAGATCAATGGAATTACAATTCACTAAAGATACATAAATTATAATCATAATTTTAAAAAAATATAGTGGCAAACGGATGAATAAATTAGTAGGTTAGTTAGTGTTTTATTGATATAAGTATAAAACTTGGGCATTGCGGTAGAGTATAATTCCATTATGGATAAGATTTTATTTTGATAAATCACAAAGTGTTATACAGTAATATTAACTGATGACGACATTTCGAGCGTATATTAGATCATTATTCAAATGTTAAAATACATCCTCTTTTTGAAATTAATCTAATTGTTTATTTTAGTGTCAAAGTTAAACCATCATGGCCTGCAGAATGCGAATGCACGAGTGACCTTGAGCTAACCAGTCAGAAACACCAGTGGTTTTTACACAAAAATTACGTTTATCCACGCGAGAGATTCATGAAAACACATTGAACAGAGTATTTTTCTCTGACATGACTTAAAATTGTCCTAATTATTCTGAGGAGTGTCAATCTTTAAGTTGAACCAGTTTCTATGCATGTGTTCATTAATATGACTGAAAATAAGTTTCTTTTGCGATCCGTTGATTACCCTTATCCTGTTTTTCAACCTACCCCAGACGCCCCCGATTGAATTGGTATTGAATCTCAATAATGAGGTCGATGAGTTCATCGGAATAGTACACTCGATGATGGATAAATCCCGAATTTGATAGGCGGTTGTATACTGCTCATTTGTCAGGATGAATAGTAGTGCCAGAAATGACTAACCTTTGTATAATTGTTAGAAGGGTGTTGGTGGTACGATATGAAAACACCTCAACAATTCCCTTCTGAAACTTCGTGTCGTAATTCCCTAATACTCAAACTTTGTTTGCCCTAGGGTGACCATGGTTATATTTCCTGTTTATGAGAACTGTTTCATCGATATGAAGAATAAAATGAACTCCTAGCAGCTGCGTGACTGTATTCCCCTACCACAATGCTATATTTCTGAAGTAGTGGGACCAATGCACAGTAGATACAATGGAATTTTCCGTCCCTGCAGTCGTCCATCTCATCTCAGCCTTTAATATCCAATAATGGCAGATAAAGAGTGTGTTTGATGGTATTAGATGGTTGGACACAATTACACTAGTTACTAGTGTCAAATCAAAAGAGTGTCTTTGTCATTGGCATTTTCGATTAAGAAAATAAAGTTCCCATAGAACAACAAACTGATTGTGTAATTTACCGTTACGAATACTCATTCTTTTCGTGCACAGTGTACACCTGAATACATGTCCATCACTTGTTTCTGAACACCTCTGGATGTATACATGGAAGCACCACAGGAGCATTTACAGCCTATTACTAAACAGTACTTAAAAACATAATCAGAGTGAAATTTTCTCCTGTAATTCATGAATAGCGTTTATACTGGCACTGTAATTAGTGATAGGTCTCGTTATGCTTCCACTGGTCATTGGTGTGTTCACACTCCTAGATCAGGAGACTTAAACTCACTTAGTTTCTTTTAAAAATAAGATTTGATCACATTGCTAATTCACTCAACTTTCCCCATTCCCAAGAGTGGTTAGCTCCAAAAAACAATTCAGTGTATGGTTTTATTAAAAATAACACGTTAATAACTGTAGTAGACAGCTTTCAGAAAAAGTTACTGAAGACACCTAATCGCTCTCATACTTTTATTCTTAATGAAATTATGCAGACATTCAATTTGCTAAAAACGGTGAAGAACAAATAGGGGAAAAGAAGTGGATACTACAACTAATAATAATAATAAAGGCAATTAAGTCTTTATTTTTTTGAGTTTGACCGAAAAACAATATCGGTTAGAGAACCAGAGAGCACTGGACAGCTGTTTCTTCACCCTAGTTTGAGAATCATCGGCAGTACACACCCTGGTTCTTTAACTAATAGCAATCCGTGGTCAAACTCGCAAAAAAACAAGTTTAATACTTGCAAACCAACTCCTGAAAACTAAGCTGATGCTCGCTAGTGACTTGCTACAGGACGGAGTTTCCTAGAGTTCTAGTGAGAAGTCGTGACCAGTGAAGTCCAACCTGTCAAGTATGAGGATGGATTTCCCACCGATGACATTGGTTGGTGTTCGCGCTGCATCACGAATTGGTAGAAGTCAGAATTCATGGGCCACTGAATCGAGTCCCAGTGGCTGAATGGTATACGACCTAGCTTGCCTTATAACCGGAAGGTCCTGGGTTCGAACCCCCAGTGGGCGGGTATTGCGGAGGATTCTCAAACTGGGACGAAAGAAACATCTGTCCAGTACTCCCTGGTTTTCAATGGTTCTCTAACTGTTATCAATCCGTGATCAAACTCGCAAAAAAACAAATTTAATCCTTACAAACCAACTCTTGAAAATTAAATTTTGAATTAGTTTAGGCGCAGAAATTACTGTTATGATAAATGTATTCAAGACATATATCACTCTTATTCATGAATTTAAGGTAGATCTTTGTGTAGAAAATGAAGTACATACAATCGCCTCTCACCTAAACGCACTTACGCTTGGATTAGAATAGAAAAAGAGGGTTAAAAAACTTTTATAGCTTTATTTCTACATCTTATTACTTTCGCTGTGAACAATTCCCGTTACATCATCTCTCACCTTGTCACTCTATTTATTTAATTCAATGTAACCGTTTTTTTCAATCTTGTCTTATCACACTTCTCACCTTGTTATGTAATGTTTTATTTGTATACTAATCCTACCAATTCTACACCCCCTAGTCTAACACATGCATTTCATGAATTATTACTTCATGTGTGTTTAACTGTGATTGAAATGACAAATGTTTTTCACACCTATCGGTGAAACTTATTTACGGGGTGTAGTTTTTCTGTTGTTGTTGTTGTGGGGAAAATAACATATATACACACATATAATTGTACAGCTTACTAATGAATTAGTTGAAAAGCCTCTCTTCGCTGAATATTGTGTCACTAATAAAAATGATTGTTCACAGTTTGTTTTCCGATGACATTCCATAACTTCTCTATTCATTGGAATTTAGCCTGAGAGTAATTCTCTCTAATACAATTAGTTTCCATTGTGAATGCAGCTCCTGACGCTGCTCCGCTGCCTTGCGGATTAGACTCCAAGTCAAAGGCTCGGGGGTGGTCCCTTAATAAAACCACCTGCTTCGGTGTGGGCGCCCGGGCAGTATCTCAGCCCTCATAGAAGAAATCAAGTAAAACAACAAACTGCCATTGAAATTCATCGCGCGCTAGTAAAAATGTTTTCAAGCAATAATGATCCCTCAAAATACTTATGTCCTTCCAACCTTACTTTTATTTTTATACATAGTTTCCCGTATTTTACCTTTGCTAAGCTTGACTTCTTAACCTTCGACAGCCTTTCGCCTTTGTCGAGATTCCCAGCCTATCTGTGTCGTTTTGAGATGTTAGTGAGTAGTCTTCGAAATGGTTTTCCCCAATGTGACATCTAACACCGATATCCTGAAACCGTGTGCCGCGTTCAAGCTGGCCACCTACAGTGTTCGGACGCTGATGCAAATCGAACAACAGGCAGGATTGGTAAGAACCTTGGAAAGCCTCGCTATCGATGTTTGCTGCATTTCGGAGACCCGCATCCAAGATCCCAGTAAAGTGCTTCGACTATATTTTTATTTTTATTTTTGATTTACAGCTTGATTCCACACTGTATTTTTGGTACAAGTATGGAATTTTCAGCATGGATATCGGTAGCCCAAATTTTGCAGGCCGACCATAGATATCAAGTGTGCGTCGGCGGGGGTTCGAACCTCGGACGATGTGCATGGTCGGCGAGAGTCCTGACCACTGTGCCACCGACGACTATCCTCTCCATCTGGAAGTTCTAGTAGTATGTACCACCTGCTCTTATCCGGGGACCCTGTGGCGTTGGTATCCGGCGTAGCTGGTGTTGGTGTCGCACTGAGCGCTAGAGCCGAAGCTGCACTGCTCGACTGGATCCCCATTAACAGTCGTTTATGTGCTGTGAGGCTGGAAGGTTATACAAAAGCAACGAGTAGTAGGCCAGATAGACGGTGTCTATTTGTTGTCTCTGCCTATGCACCGACGGATTGCAGCCCGGATTCAATGAAGGATGAGTTTTACTACCAACTGAGCGATCTCTTGAAACAGGCGGATCGGAGGGATATCGTAGTGCTGGCTGGGGACTTGAATGCACAGATCGGGCGTCTAAGCTCAGAGAAGAATCGTCTAGGTGGTCAGTGGGGACTACATGGTCGCAGGTCAGATAATGGGGACCGTCTTCTGCAGCTTTGTGCGGATCACAACCTATTTCTAGCCAGCACCAACTTCCGGCACAGCCATTGCCGCAGCGGTACCTGGCGTCCTCCCTCCGCGAAGCAAGCTTGGACTCAGATTGATCATATTGCGGTCAGTTTCCGGTGGCGAGGATGCATACAAGACTGTCGCTCCTTCTGGAGCACATGCCTGGACTCCGATCATGCGTTAGTGTGTGCCAGGTTCGTCTAGCGATTTGGTGGGGTTCATAAAAGGCGTCGTCTAAACGTTGATGTGAGCGAACTGGTAGCGCCTGCTACTTCTTTGAAATATCAGAATGAGTTACAATCAATGCTTTCCAACAACCCCCCAAGTGGTATAGATGAACATTGGCTTCATGTGCAAGGTGCCATGCAAAAGGCGGGTGTAGTCGCTTGCGGCTTGAAAGAATGCTCCGCTAACAACCACTGGGTTTCTGCGAGTTCCTTGCGACTTCTGGATGAACGCCGGTCCATTCCGGCTGGCAGCGAATACAACAATAAGCAAAAGGCGCTCACGCGCAAGATAAGACAGTGTTTACGTAAGGACCACGAAGCCTGGTGGTCAGAACGTGCGTGTGAGATGGAGTCAGCTGCTGCATCTGGCAACAGTTAGAAGCTGTTCCAACTCATCCGAGCCACCGGCGGTAAGAAACAAGGTGTCAGCGAGACGGTCTGTGAAGCAGATGGCACGCCAATTACCAGCTTGAAAAGACGCCTGGAACGCTGGGCAGAGCACTTCGGGAAGCAGTTTAGCTGGTCACCAGCTTCAGTGTCTGCTGTCATTAACCCGAGTGCTCCTTGGTCGGTTAGTACCGACCCACCCACCGAAGCGGAGGTCCGTAAGGAACTCCAAGTTCTGAAACGCCATAAGGCGCCCGGCCCAGACAATTTACCCCCGGCTCATTTTAAAGATGGTGGCGAGACTCTCACAATGGCTTTAAGTGGGTTGTTCAGGAAGGTATGGGAGACAGAGTGTACCATCAGTGTGGAACGAAGCCATTATCGTCCCCATCTTTAAAAAGGGTCGACGTAATTCGTGTGACAATCATAGGGGTATCAGTCTGTTACCAGTCGCGTCTAAAATATTGGCTGCTGTCTTGCTTCGCAGACTGTGCAAAATACGTGAAGGATTGATTCGCGAAGAGCAGGCTGGGTTTCGTTCAGGTCGTGGATGCATTGATCATGTGTTCACCCTTCGTCAGTTGTTGGAACACCGCCACACGTATTGCAGGCCAATGATCGTTGTGTTTCTTGATATTAGGGCTGCCTTCGATTCGTTGGACAGAACTGTGCTCTGGAACTGTCTGTTAGGGAGAGGTGTACCTGAGAAATTTGTTAACATCTTGAAAGCCCTATACAGAAACACCTCAGGTAGAGTGAGGGCATACAACCAACTATCATCACTGTTCCCAACAAACAGTGGGGTTAGGCAGGGTTTCCCAATCTCTCCATTTCCCTTTAACTTTGCCATCGATGACATTCTGGAGTCAGCTCTGAAGGATGTGCGTGAAGGTGGTGTAGATCTGCCACCTGGAGATAGACTTTTCGACTAGAGTGGCATACATCAACTTGAGCCACCTCTGGCGCCGTCACGACGTTAGCCTGGTTGTCAAAGGTCGGGTATACAATGCTTCAGTGCAGGCTGCCCTGCTCTACGCCTGTCAAACCTGGCCTCTCCGAGTAGGCTGAGAATGTGGGCAACTCCGCGTGTTCGATCACTGCTGTCTCCGCAGGATTGTTTGCGTTCGATGGCATCATCGCATGAGTAATTCTGAGGTTCGGCGGCGTGTGTTTGAACACAGTGGAGATCACCATTCATTGAGTGTCGTCATCTGGAAACACCGGCTCCGGTGGCTTGGACATGTGCTGCGAATGTCACCCCAGAGGCTCTCGTAGAGGTCTCTGTTCGCTGGCCAGCCCTGGGACGGGATGGAAAAGGCGGAGAGGTGGTCAGTCCATGACGTGGCGTCGTGGGATGAAGGATTTTTGTGCTAGATTAGCATCAGTTGGTGTGTCACGACTCCCTGGTTGGGGTCCGGGAGATAGCTCAAATCGATGCCTCGAAACGTTATCGGATACGACCAAGAATCGTAATCAATGGCGAACGTGTTGCAATTTCCTTCCTTCTTCCCTTCCCGATGATAGTTAACGAACACTATTTGAGCTTGTTAAGCATGACTGTTTACATTCCAGATGAAGTTCTTTATCCGTTCTCTACTTATATTTTTTTCTTTGATCTACGTTGTTTTATTATTATTGTGTGGCGCATCCTTCTTGGTGCCATATTGTACCAAGTTTTTTATGCGTTTAAATAAATAAATAATATGCATTGTGAAGATAAACAGGATTATTCATTTACAAAATTTTATTTTATATATATACTTTTTTTCCACTCTTCTCTTTTTCTCTGTAGATGATCCACGCTGTCTTTCTTACCTATTATCATTCTATGATCATTTATGTCTATGGGAAGAAGGTTCACCTGTTCCAGTTTTACATGTAGGTTGGGTTGATAAATTGATGGTAAATTTGACACGATTTACTCAACGTGCTAGACGTCATCTATGCCTGTCTGTAGCATCTGATAAAGAGGATAACCGAAGTGATACTGTACACTCACCATCGTTAACACATTCAACTGGTCGATCAAGTCGTTGGGCAACAGAATCAACAGATACAACAAGTGAAACAGGAGTTACTAGTAGTGTAAAGCGTACAACTCGTCGAAATCGATCCAATCAAATAGAATCTACGCCTAATTCATCATCTACTGTTGTCAGTGTTAAAGATGAGCAATTAAAATCTAATGATGATAATGTAAATAACAACATTGAATCAGTCAATGGAAATGTGAAGCACAAATCATCAGGTGAGATAGTATAGTATTCTAATTTTTCAAAAAAATTTTTATTGTTCATATCGTGATGTTTGCTTAATGTTTGTGTTATTTCTCTTTAACAACAACCTTTTAACCTGACTGGCTGGTTTCAACACATAACTTTGCATAGAGATGTGCAGCAGTTCGAGTTATTACAATTCATGTAGCACACAAGGCAAGAGAAGAGAGTAAAGGGGGAGGTTCGAAAGACGAATAATGAACAGAATTGTGAGAGAAAAGGAATAGTAATATGGAAAAGTAACAGTTTTATTGGATACGAGAAATCATAAACAGTGAACGCATCTGCACAATTGACAACGGTGATTTCGAGCCATATCACCAGTTGTTGTCTCCAGCCGTCATTGGTTCTTACTATCCCAAGGACTCCAGTCATACAGCAATCTACACCGCCCTATGTGACTAGCCTAAACTAACTGTTATGGATCTCATTAGACATGCGTAACACATACCTTAACCATCTCAGTTGATGTAACTTCACAGTCTCGTATATTGATTTCCCCTGTTTACTGAGCACTCGACCGATGACTCACTTCAATAGTGCTCACCCTATTATGCCACTTAACAACGAGAGTTAGGACTCAGACACATATGATCAAAGACAGCTAGTCGGGCTTTTCATGTCTTCCACTTTCAATGGCCATGTTTCGCTCACTACCATAAAGTAGGACAGAACGAGTCGCTGAGCGGTATACACGACCTTTGGTCTTCAGCTGGGTATCACGTCTGCCCATTCAGAGATGGGGTAATCTGGCATATGCCAAACGGGCCTTCTGTATCCGTGCTGAGATTTCGTTAGCTATCAACCTGTTGGTTGGGGCTGATGCAACTTCCCAAATGAGTGAAGTGGTCAACAAGCCTAGCCAACACTTCACCCCTATATAATTTAGCTAGGAGTCGTCGTAGTCCAGTCCTATAGCTTCATTGTACATTTGACAGGAGCGAACCGCATGCCAAACATTCGAAGATTACTGCTCAAGGTATTATTCACTTTGATAAAGTTATTAGCACTAAATAGCGAATTGTCAGTAAAAACAATATCGTTTTGTTTTTCATTCATTGGAAAATACAAAAAACCTTTATTATACTGCTCAAGGTGTTCAGAATATGCAGTTTGTCAGCGTCGTCACCTAGAGGAATTATCTCATCCGCATATTCTAAGACAACGAGAAATTATTCCCTGTTGGTAACATATCAATCCTGGAGTCACTGAAGTCATTTAGGGTTAGGTCAATCGTTACATACATGATGAAATTAAATGTGACGAAATTAACATACTTCCATAATACTGAAAAGCTGCACAGGAATTTCCTGTCCGGGGTGTAATATATATATATATATATATATTTGAAAATACGTCTTGAAATGTTTACTGATTATGGCTCCATGTGTATGAATTGACTGATAACTAGACATAGGCATGGTCAGGGACTTTCCTCTTATTGAATATAGATTTTTTTGTCTTATTTATTTACATTCCGAGTGGAACATAAGGCTTCAAGCTTTGGAGTTTCGGTAGCGGTAGTGTTTCTTCCTCATGCCGTGCGTTTGCTAAGCACACGTCTAACCTCCACTCTTTACCTGGCGTACTACTACCGGCTACTCGAGGTTTAGTGGTGCGTCGGCAGAGTATCGAACCTTGGGCCATGGCGAGCATTATTCTACTGTTGAACCACTGAAACACACTTCTTATTACAGTTCACTAATAAATTGTTATTAGTTTAGGTAAGGGTGAATAGAATAGAACTTTATAGTGTCTGAAAATGACCCTATCAATAAAGAAAATTTTCTTCACTGAATTGTCTTAGATAAATTTACTACCATGTTGAGATATTAGTTAGTTGCAATCTGAACAGAAGGAAGGAATCAACTAAACTTATCAAATGTTCTTTTTGTAGTCTCATAACTAAGAGTCAGTGATCTTGATGTATATATTTGCATAAGTGTATGCAAACTTATTTACTGGTTCCATGCAAATCACTATGATGGTCAGCGATCAGTAATGTATGTATTAGTAAGAAAAGCTATTCAGTAATTTCTCCGAGGCTTTTGTAATCAGACAGCAAATCGTGATTACTTTTCAAAAACTAAATAATACTTTTTGATGTGGTTTTGTTCTCTGAGCTGGATGGTTAGTTTGCGAAGCTTTCATCACCTTACTGGGTGACATCTTCAGCGCATACTTCAATTTGAAGTGAGCTTTTAGATTTCTCCACGAGTTTATTAATCATCTCTCCTGGTGACCTTGGACGTGATTGGTTGTTTGTGTGTGTTTTCACACCTTCTAGGTTACTTGTATTGGAACCGGTTGTTTCTTTGACTTGAATTTTGACCCTTTGTCTGTGAAGTTTCTTTCTTATTGGTTGATAAATTTTATGTCCAGTGGATCATCAATCAATAGACACATCGACATAGACAAAATTTATCAACCAATAAGAAAGAAACTTCACAGACAAAGGGTCAAAATTCAAGTCAAAGAAACAACCGGTTCCAATACAAGTAACCTAGAAGGTGTGAAAACACACACAAACAACCAATCACGTCCAAGGTCACCAGGAGAGATGATTAATAAACTCGTGGAGAAATCTAAAAGCTCACTTCAAATTGAAGTATGCGCTGAAGATGTCACCCAGTAAGGTGATGAAAGCTTCGCAAACTAACCATCCAGCTCAGAGAACAAAACCACATCAAAATCATCCACCTGAGCTACAAATCTTCTCTATAATATCTAAATCTTACGAGCGGGATACGCTTCTCTCTGTTCGAAAGTGGGAAGACTTCGCCAAAAGGCAAGGATCCACCAGAGAACAATTATTCTTTCTCCATGAGTGCCTTCGTCATTCAATCCTACCAAACAGTGTAAGATACAAACCACCAGTCAACTGCCCAATGGGATGGAAATTGGCCGAACAATGTGGAAGACGAATGGTCAAATTAATGATTACAGATGCACATTATCGGATCAAAAAATATCAACAAATTATAGATATCCAAAAAGCAAAATTAGAGAAAACCCTCAACCAGGAACACCTGTCAACGCTGATCACCGCAATTACACTGTCAAGTGAAAAACACAGAGAACAAAGACGAAGAGTCCTCAAAACCAAGCTAGCCAAGATTAGAAAACAACAACCAGACAATACGCCCATAGACTGCGTAGTCAACCTATCAAAACAACCACTATCAAAAATGGAACAACAACTACTACAAAAAGGATTAAACTACAACACCGGAGATGCTTCAAAAACTGATTTCTTCGCTGCCTTTGAATCATTACTCAAATCATCAAACTTGAACGAGGAAACACAGGAAGAGATACGCCAAACAATTGTACCAATGGTCAAACAGAAAAGACAACACACACAACTCAACGCTCAAGAACTAAAGGCCCTCAAAAAGCTGAAAAATAGGAAGGACATCGTCATTTTACCAGCCGACAAAGGAAGAACAACAGTAGTCATGGACAGAGAAGAATATACCAAGAAAGCAGAAGAACTACTCAAAGATGAAGATGTATATCAACAACTCCCAACAAATCCCATACAAACATTGGATAACCGCATCCAAAGGACCTTAAACAAGCTCACCAAAACTGGACAGATCACAAAACAAGACCAATGGCGAATGAAATCCAATGGACCAGTCCTACCCCGATTCTACGGCAGACCCAAAATACACAAGGCAAATATCCCATTACGACCAATTGTATCACTCCCAGGAACTCCAACATATAATTTATCCAAAGAATTATACAGAAAACTAAAACACCTAACGGAATCTTGCGATCACTCCATCAACTCTGCTATCCAATTCCTAGAGAAAATCAGAGGCATCCAAATAGATGAACAAGAAATAATGGTATCATTCGACGTGACAGCATTATATACATCCATCGGACAAAACCTAGCAAAAGAAACCATGGAGCAACTACTTAGCAACGACGAACAACTGCCACAACAATCAAAAATGCAACACACAAGCTGGATGGAATGCATAAATCTATGCCTAACAACATACTTCCAATTCAACGGCCAAATATATGAACAAGTCAAAGGAACACCCATGGGATCGCCAATATCAGGTTTGATTGCAGAAGCAGTGATGCAAAGACTCGAAAATATAATTCTACCAAAGATCAAACCCAAGATTTGGATACGCTACGTCGACGACACATTTGTAATCATCAAAAGAAACGAATTAGATAAAACTCACAACTTAATAAACAACGTCTTCAACGACATCAAATTCACAAGAGAAGAGGAATCCGAGAACAAAATACCATTTTTGGACGTCTTAGTCAGGCGAACAACTACAGGAGAATTAGAAACTCAAGTTTATAGGAAATCAACTCACACAGACCAAATACTGAATTACAACAGCAACAACCCAATAACACACAAAAGGAATTGCATACAAACACTATTCAAGAGGGCAAGGACTCACTGCAGCACTCCCACCTTAAGAAAAATTGAAGAAAAGTATCTCATGGACGTCTTCCAAAAGAATGGATATCCACGGAATTTCATCAAGAGACATATACCCCCAAGCCAACCTACCAAAGCAAAAGCCACCAAGGAGAACACAAAGAAAATTGCCTTACCATATATAAAAGATATCTCAGAAATCACTACAAGACTCTTCAAACCTTTAGGAGTTGACGTCGTACACAAACCAACAAAGTCGCTTCACTCAATTCTATGTCAACCAAAAGACTCAACAGCGAAAGAAGATAAAACCAACATCATCTACAAAATAAACTGTAACAACTGCGAAAAACACTACATCGGCCAAAGTGGACGTCCCCTTCGTCTTCGTATCCACGAACATAAGCTAGCCGTCAAAAGACATGATATCCACTCCCTCATTTCACTACACACAGACAACTACGGACATCAATTCGACTGGGACAACGTTCAAATATTAGACAAAGGAAATAACAAGAATGCTAGAGAATTTTTAGAAGCTTGGCATTCCAGTGGATCATCAATCAATAGACACATCGACATAGACAAAATTTATCAACCAATAAGAAAGAAACTTCACAGACAAAGGGTCAAAATTCAAGTCAAAGAAACAACCGGTTCCAATACAAGTAACCTAGAAGGTGTGAAAACACACACAAACAACCAATCACGTCCAAGGTCACCAGGAGAGATGATTAATAAACTCGTGGAGAAATCTAAAAGCTCACTTCAAATTGAAGTATGCGCTGAAGATGTCACCCAGTAAGGTGATGAAAGCTTCGCAAACTAACCATCCAGCTCAGAGAACAAAACCACATCAAAATCATCCACCTGAGCTACAAATCTTCTCTATAATAACTAAATAATACTGTCCAAACATTGTGTAGAGTTTAGACGATGTAACTCCATTATCCATCATTTGAAGTCGTTCACTAAGTGGTACGATAGTTACCACCGAGAATTGCACATTATAGTTTATCCTATTCATTTGTATGGTATAAAAGAGTTGTAACGAAGGGGGGAACACCTTTGCACCCAGCGCGTAGCAAAGGATGTATTTTTTATCACCTGCCCCCTTCTCCCTCTCATCGAAAAACGGTTGACCTAACACTCCAGCGGGGGTTCATATATTTTTAGTTTCGAAGTGTCCTAAATTAGGGCGGAACAGCTGCCCAGTACTTCTTGGATTTCAGTGTTTCTCTGACTTATGTCGGCATGGGATTTCAATCAAATCTCTACAAATCAACACTTAAAAATAAAATTTTATTTCAAACTGTGTAACACTGAGTTTATCTGGAGTTCGGTGGGGAGGGGAAGGGTTGGAATTCGAAGCCCGTTAAAAACTTTATTCACGCTTATCAAAGTGTTTAGACTGAGAAGTGACTATCGACTTATTCAACTAACTGAAAATAAGTAGAATTTTGCTAGAATTTCTAACCTACTAACTCATTTGGTTTATTTTTAATTTTTCTTTTATAAAAGATACTATAACCCAAACTGTCAAAGGATCTAATTCTCGTTCAATGCGATCCAGTAAAGTCTGCAATAATATCACAATTGAAATTCCCGAAGAAAGGTGTAACTCAAATACTACAACACGTTCTAACGGTGAATTGTATTCACCTCATGCAAAATCTGCTCTTTCATCAACTAATACAAACTCTACGTTTGACGATATACATTTTGAAGCAGATCAGGCTTCAGCAGATACTGAAGAACAAGATGGATCACCTTCACCATTAGTAGATTTTCCTAATAATGGTGATCTATTAGCAAGTCTAGTTGAAGCATGTGATCATCGTCTGTTGAATCCAGCCTTTCTATGGGGTGTAGATCCGCATTCTCCGTTCCTACCAGCTAATATTGCTCCGGAAGAAGCCTTAAATCGTTTGATGACTGTTATTGAAGGAAATAAACCTGCCTCTGTATTGCAGAATTCAAGCACTAAAGCGGTTACTGCAGCAACGCCAACGAGGACTATGGTTCATAATATCTTTCCAACACCGCCGAATTCAGGTAGTTTCACAGAAATAATGGGGACAGCAGTCAGTGAAGAAGCAAACACTATTGATGCTATCACGGTTGTTCCATTGTCACCGGCAAAATTATCCCAGACTACACAAATATCTTCGAACAGTGAAAAGTCAACTGATCTTCATTTTCCGCTTTCTATTACAAAAAATGAATCAGACAGTTGTATATTGAAAACAACAGAAGAAGAGACATTATTCCCCGACAGTTTCGATACTGTTGATGGTATTACTGCTGCTGCTGTTGCTGTTACAGCAGACGATTTCGATCTACTGGCTGACATACCTAATGAATTAATGGATTCTGTTGCAAGTTTAGTTGTTGAAAATCAAACTGTCTCACCGGCTTCTAATAATCCTGTAGACTTTTTCGATTTAATTTTAGAATCTGAAAATAAGCTACATAAAACTATCTGTAATCATCGTCAAGGCGAAAACGAAGATATATTCAATGATAATAATAATATCAATAATATTGATAGTAATAACAACATCAGTAATAGTAATGATATCAATAATAATAATAATAATAGCAGTAGTCAATCCCCCTCTCGTCCGTCTAGAAATCATATCAATAAAACAATGGAAGAGTTAAGCGTTCCTTTATCTTTGTATTCAGTTAAAATGGCATCAATCATTGAATTGTTACAAGCGCCACGATTGAATTCCTCCGCGATTAAGCTAGCATTAACAGCTCAGAGTCAAGTATGCGTCCGTCGATCTACTATTAATTCTGCATACTTTTAATTATTACCCTCATATATTATATATATATGCATATTGTTCCGCATATACTCATTTGTATACACAAACATACACTTAATTGTAGTAGATCAACATTTTTGTTTATCACTTTTCCAGAATTATTTTTGTTTTTGCTTACACAATCGCACAATCAGGTGCGGTATTTCCTTTTCCATCATAGTTTATCATCCAAGTTTATTGTTTAAGTTTTTTTTGTCAATTTTGTTGTGTATCATGCATCTGTTTTTTTTAGTTTTTGTACCACCCTGTTTTCCCCGTGTGTGTTTCTGTTTGTGTGTGTGTGTGTCAATCTATGGACGCGCGCATCTTCGCGTCTCAGTTACGCATTTTTACTATCCACGTAGATAACTAAATCGGAAGAAGAAGACAGCGGAACTTGTGTTGTTTTTTCTCTTCCTGTAAAACATCTCCGTGGTTTAACCCTCTGTCATATTTACGCATTGCCTTTACCCTGTTATTATTTAATATTATTATTACTATTTTTCCTTTTCCAACTAGAGACATACTAACAGACAGATACGCAGAGTTCAGTTGGTTTCATAGATAATTAAAAAGTATTTATGTGTTAATAAAACTGCCAAATTATTATTATTCCCGTTATTTTTTATTTCCCTGTTTAATCTGTTTTTACTCAATTTTGATAAATTCCGACCAGAGATTTATTTATTTACTTATTATTATTGTTATTATTATTATTTTTGTCTCCTTGTTTTCTGTACACATACATTATATATATTTACATTGCCTTTTGATACTTGTCTGTTTATTTTCCGTTGTTTTTTGTAAATTCCTCCACCACCACCCTTCGAATCATTGTAACCATTGTATTAATTGATCAAGGTGTTAATTATTATTTATTTGAATCATTCAATCAAATATCAACATGTCCATACTCTTGTTCATGATCTCTATCTCTCTCCGTCACTTTCGTAAATCTCGTATTTTTCTTCCTGAAATCGATCCTAAATGTGTTGACTATTTTATTATTATTAATATTAACAACAAACAATAATATTAATACTAATAAGTGTACATTTGTTTATTCACATTACATGTTCTACATATTTTATTATGGTTCCCCTTATTTCTGTTGTATTTTATTCTTCACCTCCCCCACCACCACCCTGGCGTTTATGTCTATACTGTACATGTTTATTTATTTGCATTCAAAACATGCATATATATATATATAAAGAGATCGCTGTATTTTGTATTATGTTATATTTTGTGTTTGTTGTATACCTGTTTTATTTAGTGTGTGTGTGTGTGCGTATGCAAAGTTTATTTGTTAGTTTATCAATCATTAATATACATGCACCCAGCGAAACACCCACCATCCCACTACTCCGGTCAAAAGTATATTTTTTTATGCATGTGTTTTATTTGTGCTGTTCTATTTTTGTTGCGTTGCGTTTTTGTTTCAAATAAGAGAAAAACCTTATCGTCTTCTATAGATTACATTTGATTATTTGTTTACACTATTTATGTATTTATTTATTTATTCACAACATTGTATGATGTGTGTTTTACCCCTAGATCAATGAAGAAACAAACCCCGGTGAATTCTATTACTAATACTAATATTACTAAAACAACTACAATTATTATTATTCTCATTTCTTGTTGTGTGTATGCAAGTCGTCCTCTGTCTCTTCATTTGTTTGTTTTCGTGTCGTTGTTTCTTCTTCTTTTTATTATTATTATTATTATTATTAAATGAGAAAGTGTTTTCTTCGATTTAATATTCCTATTGAATGAACAAGACAAGGAATGACCATCCTGTGGCTAATAATATCAATTGGATTGTATAATTTCTATATGCTTGACCAGTTAGTTAGTTAGTTGTATGGCATGTAATTGAAACTACTCATGTATGCCTATTTGTGTATGTGTGTGTATCTGTATACGAGCGTAATTGGCGAATCAAATTACATAGTTGACTACTTCATGTTTCTAGTGCAATCAAAATTAAATTCTCTTCATTGAACCTTTGACTGTTTATAAAAATATCTGTTGTCTGTGTACACGTGTTTCTGTTTGCGTTTCCTTCAATATGTACATAGACAAATAAAAATTCAAACCCATCATCAAATGCTTTTTTACAGGTTTGATCACGAGTTGGCATCAGTTAGAAAAAAACCTGGGATTACTGGCCCGTTAACTGTTTCATCTTCGTTTAGGACTCTTCATCAGTGTTCATCCATTACAGGGGGTCGAATCTAGGGGTCTGTGGGTTACAAGGCTAGCGAGCTCGTAGACCATTCAGCCATTGGGACCCGATCCAATGGTCGACCGATGAATTCCAGCTTGAACTGATTTGCGATGTATACAAAATACAGGCGAGTAACTTGACTTGGTGGTTATGACTTTTTTTGTTGTTGATTTTTGGAAATCAGTCTATACTTCTAAATTGTTATATGAACTGTTGCTAAGCGTAATATGAAGCCTTGATTCTATCCTAACTAGCGTTCTACCCCAAGTCTCCTCAACCAGTCGGTGTATATCTCCGGGGGGTTATGGGTGTTCTAGATCATTTATCTCATGAACAGGAAGACAGTTGATATTCTCTCTCTCTCTCTGTTATGATGGTTTAAGGCGATTGTTATTTATGTTACAAATGTATGTGTGCGTTTTTTTAAAATTCGCCTCCCTTCTACTTGATAGGCGTTGAAAAACTCACTGTAGCAAAGGAAATTAATACAGTTATTCTATAACAAATGACTATATTGTGTAAGGAGCTTATTTTGAAGAAAATGATCAGTATTCGTCAATACATCTGCCTCATTATGAACAACTTTTAATAATGTTGCAAAGAATTCACTATCGCATGATCACATCTCAGACTACCTTAACATACGCATGTGGCTTACACTAAGAGTCTCTAACTTCATAGATTATTGCCATGTTTTCGTCGAACTCTCCTAACTTAATCATTCTTCACCGGATAATGCTCGTCTAGAGAGACGTCAACTTAGTAACAGTTACACATACCTATGTCTAATATCGACTTTATTTACGATTATCTACTAGAAGTGGTCAGTTTAAACAGGACATTTAGAGTCTAAAACGTTTTCACATGTTTCACCTCATGGGCACCGGAGATGACGAATGCTGAAATGTTATCACTTAAACCTTCTATATCAATGCTGCGAATACAATTGCTATGAGATAATTGTTATGTATTATTCCTTCGGTTCCGACTAAAACAGAAGGCCTCCATAGCACATCTCCATTTCATCATGTTCTCAGCAGTCGTCTTGAGCTGACTGTACAATTGCCCATAGGCCCTCATTTCTTCTTCCTCACATAATCTATCCCACATCACCTTGGGACGGCCAATTCGTCATCCCAAGTTCGGGTTTCACTCGGGCAATAGCCTGGCGCATGATGTCTCTCAACGATCTTCTCATGTGTGTCTGGTCCATTTCCAGTTTCTTTCCGACATATATTTTGGCCGATTGGTTTTTGGTTGGTTCGTTGTCTGTCAGAGCTCCTTGTTGCTAATCCTTTCTGACCGGTCATCTGATCTTCAATATAGAGCGAAATTGTACGATCATTACTCGTCAGATATCCATGTCCCTTATTTGTGCACTCAGAAGACTACGTATCCGTATCAGCATAGACGTATGTATGGTTTACGTAAAGTTGATTGACGACACGTTTCCTTGATATCAAGTCAATGTCTGGAGTAATTTTATTCAACGTGACTCAGCATAATCAATATTTCACCGCGCAACCCCCTAACCCACCATCAGAGTCTTTCTAAACTCATCTGCGAATTCAGGTCGAGGGACTATCAGTTTCTCAATTCATTCCGGAACTCCCTATTGAACAAAAGGTTCTCTCAATCTTTCATTCTACCATGACTTTAAATTCCTTCTTACGCATTGGATTCTCTTAGTAAATAATTCACATGTTCCTCTTTTCATCACCATTGATGTGGGGGTAGTCATACAGGAATCATTTCCACCTTGTCGAATTTTGAACCTTCATTACTTCCATCGTCTTGTCCCTCCATTTACTTATTTATTTCATTCCTCTGGTTTTTCAAACCACTTCTCAGTCACTGTATGAATGGATAATATCACTTCCCGCAACTGTTGTACATTAACAGAGTTGTAATTCTACTTAATATATATCCGAATGTTTCGCTTCGTGGAATTGTCTTTCGCCGCCTTTATTAGTTAGTCAGCAGTATTCTGGGTGAGAAAGGATAGACGATAAAAGAGAGGATATGAAAAGATTAGCAATTTCTTTTACAATAATTGCCTCTATTCACTCTCTGTATTGTAAGATGCAGTCACATGGTCAGTAATAGTTAATTGGGACGCACAGTATAGACCAACAGCTTGAAACAGCTGGGACATGGGTTATGCTAGCCAGGTTGTCGCATTCCTCAATCAACAATGTCAGTCGAAGTAGGATTTAGTAGTAGTGATTGTGAAAAGAAAACACGGCGCCAGACCATGAGGACTTTAATTGTGCCTTCCAGCCGGGTAGGGGGCGGTGTAGACTACCCTCGGGATGCCAAAAATCTATGTTTTGAAGACTGTCTGTGAAGTGGCCAAAAATCGTTTTATTATCAACCAGATTCTGACATGGACATATCACTGTCAAATAAATAATAAATTGAGAAATGAAAAGATACCTCAAGTACGAATGCTTTTGACATCAGATGAATAAGGGAGGAAACACTTACATACGTTTATAATCAATACTGTGCTAGACAGACTATTGATTAAAAATGAAATTAAGTATTGTTATGTGATATAAAGAGCGAGAAGACAGTATACTGATTAATTTTTTGTATGATAAAGTGTTGAGTTTAAATGCCCGCTGTTTTGTCAGAATTCAATTGGATTGTGAAGCACCAATTAATTTGTTTAAAGTAAAGGTTATTTAATTCACTTTATTAGGTAAATACAAATTTATGTTGATTATGTCTTGTAAGGCAAACAAAAACCAGACTAATGTGGAAAACAAATAAATGCGTACGTCATCTTCGAGATCTACGCCAGCTATATAATTATTAGTAGTAGTGATAGGGTGAAAGTGAAAAAAACACAACTAGAACTGTGTCATCAACAGACAAAGATTAAACGAAGAGGGAGAGACGGTCTTATCCTCTTAATGATAAATTTAGATAAGAGTCAACCAGAAGAAAACTACGAGATTATATCACATGCCTGCCAAAATATTATGTATGTGTGTGTACAGAGAACAATAGATTTTATTCAACCTTTGCCTACCCTGGACTACTTGACCTATTCAAAATACAATTAATAATAATAATTTTTTTCCTTCACGTTCCCCAGTGGAACATAGGGCTTCAAGCTAGTGGCTTGAAGTTTCTTGTAGCAGTGTTTATTTTACAGGATGGGGTTTTTAGCCTCATGCCCAACTTTTCCACTTTACCAGCATTATTTCTGGCTTAGCGAGGTAAAGGAGTGCGTCGGTGGCCGGGAATCGAACCCCGGACCATGTGCATGATCGGCGAGCATCCTAACCGCTATGCCACCGACGCACATTCAAAATACAACTGGTTATTAATTATTATTATTATGACTTGATTAAACACAGTATTTTGCTACAACTATGGAATTTTCAGCATGTGATATCGGCAGCAGGACAACCATTGATATTAGGAGTGAGTCGGCCGGGAATCGAACCTCGGACTACGTGCATAGTCGGCGAGCGGGCTAACCGCTGTGCCACCAATTATTATGATTATCACCCCTTGCTATACGTAACACGATTGTAGAGGGGTATCTTGAAATGCCACAATTTTCTCACCTGTAATTCACTGATGATGCCCATTAAAAAACGAAAAGACTAATTGGTAACAGTAAAGAAGTGACGCCACAGTCAAATGACCTTGAACCAACCAATCAGATCTCTAAGCATTTCATATGGATGGTTTTGATAATATTCGTTGCAAGTCTCATCCTGATTCAGGTTTAAGTTTAGTTTAGGGTGAAAATTTGCAACGTAGATTAGGGTTAGAGTGAAAGTTGCAACTAAGATTATGAAAAGCATCCATTTGAAATTCTGAGCTATCAGATTGGTTGGTCCAAGGTTAGTTGACTTTGGTGCCTATTCTTTACTGTTACTGATCAGTCAAAGAAGTATATTCCTTTTAATAACGGCTTCCTCATTACGACCTATATTTATAGTACAGAAATAATTAAAGAAATATTCTTATTAGCAACATTAATGATGTTTTAAATTACACTGAATCAATAGTATCGATAGGTGATTACAGTTCAAGAGAATCAGTAAGTGAGAGAGAGAGAGACTAATATGCATGAATATAACAACAATCGACTGATTGAATATTAGATAAATTAAGGAAAGTAACACAAAATTTATGGATATTTAGGCTCAGCAACAGGCCAGGGTGACAATAATTTTTTTTTATTACAGCTTGATTCCACACTGCACTTTTGGTACAAGTATGGAATTTTCAGCATGTGATATTGGTACCCCAAATTTCGCAGGCCGACCATAGATATCAGGTGTCCGTCGGCAGGTGATCGAACCTCGGAGCATGTGCATGGTCGGCGAGAGTCCTAACCATTGTGCTACCGACGCTGGAGCAAACAGGCTACAAAGCTACCACTGAACAATCTTTCTCCATCATCCACCAAGTACCGAATAAATTACCAAAGGCCTGTAGGTGCTAAACACCTCAACCACAGAGGCTATTGCAATTCACTTAAATCAACTGGAGCTTTGAGTGCAAAATTAACAGATCCACACACTATTGCTACCCTGGCCTGCTGTCGAACCTAAATATTCAAATTAATTGTCTTATAATTAAAACAGTTAGTCCCTTTGATAAATTTGAATAAGGCATTAAGAAAACAAATTTCGCGAGATGATATCATTTCGTAGTTTCTTTACAACCGCTTTACAATATGGTTAACAATAAATAATAAAATAAAGATCATGACAATTACTCAGTTAAATAAAAAAAACAAAAGTACATACTAATAACCAATCATATTTAAATAGGTCATGAACTTTATTTTATTATTGTTAACCATGTTAGTTGTAAAGCGGGTGTAAAGAAACTACGAAATGATTTCATCTCGCAAAATTTGTCTTCCCTAATGCTTTATTCTCTCTTATAAATTATTTAAATTAATCCCAGTGTGTTTAAGGAAATCAAAACAAAATTTTTCTGAACGTTTCTCTGTGTTTATGATGAATCAGTCTGGCTCGGCGCTTAAATTATTCCAGGAAGTTCGTAACACCTACGGTCTGGAAACTTATAACCTAATTGTCTTACTTCCCTTAATTTATCTGATATTCAATCAGTTTAGTGTTTTTATTATTAATGCATATTAGTCTCTCTCTCTTTCACTTACTGATGCTTCTGAACTGTAATCACTTATCGAGACTATCGATCCAATGTAATTAAAAACAGCATTAATGTTGTTGATAAGAATATTTGTTTAATTATTACTGTCATACAAGTATAGAATCTGA